TTTTAATCGATATTCCACGTCGCAAAGGCCTATATAAGACTGAGAATCCTTCAATCGACGACATCTTCTGCAAAATCCCCAAATTTTCGAAAAACCCTAAATCGACGATGTGAAACCATGTCTTCATCGACTTCTCAAAGCTCTAGCCGATATGTTTCGCCTCATTCAAGTAAAAAAACTTGTGAGCATGGGGTGGACGTGTTTACGTCAATGACTCCAGAAAATCCGGCGAGGAGGTTCAGTCGGTGTAGTCGAAGGAAGGTGAGCATTTTACCGAGGTCACTTTAGTATGATTTTAATGTCTGTGGTCATTTTGAGTGCCTTGCATTTTTATTCTATATTTATAGGGCCCCGAGAAATGCGGTCATTTTGAATGGATCGATCCAAGTCTTCCTCCATTTCAGAAAGGTTGCTTTGTGAACTTGATGGGCCAGAAAAAGAGTTTGGAAGAACAATTAAGGTGCAAAGAGGTTATGGAAAATCTGATGACAGAAAGGATGGCAATTAAGGTATCAGAGATTGAGAAGGTGCAAGATCTCTATGAGCAAACTCAATATTTGTTGGAGGTTCAAACCTTGAAGTGTGAAGACATGGAGAAGAAGATGAAGATTGCAATGGACAAAGTGAGCAAGCTCCAAAGAATGTTTGCAATGGCAGCAATTTGGCTTATAATACTCCTATTCATAATACTGATATTGGTTTATTCAAAAAGAGACAATCGTACTAATGGATACATTGAGTTGGGACAATTGAACTTTGTAGGGTAGGATGTGTGCTTTCTGATGTGTTGGTGATGAGTAGGAGATGTGTTTGTTGTAGGATGTGTGCTTTCTGATGTATTGGTTTATGAACTGAATGGATCAATGTGATTGTTATGTTTTGAGGCTTTTGGTAATGAAATGAATTGATGAACTGAATGGATCAATTGTACTTTTGTTCATCTGTTTTGTTTTCTAATGTGTTGGTGTAGAATTGTTGTTTTGTTCTTTATGTTGTGTTCTGTAGGGCTCAAACCATAACCATAAACATAGAAGTAGAAAAAAAAATAACAAAATCTTTCTTGAGTAGAAAACATATTGTCAAATACATACCATCATCATAACCAAAACATAACCATTACAACTGATCACCAAAATTATCCATGGCCATAAACCATCATCAACATAGCCCTAAACCATCATAAACATAACAGAACAACTGATTACCCATCAGAAAAGTAGCAAAACAAAGTGAATACCCATCATAAAAGTAGCAAAACAAAGTGAATACCCATCACAAAAGTAGCAAAACAAACTGATTACACTATGAGGCTTCTGCCACACTTTCTTGAGTCCCCATATTTTCAGCTCCTTGGCTGTTATCTCCAGTTCTCTTGCCTTTATTTTTCCTACTCAGGTTGATTTTCTTGAGGGTATAAAGTGAATACCCTTTCCAGATGACATCTGAACATTGAAATCATAAGATGTTGAAATTGAATACCTCTTGTAAGTGGAAATTTCAAAGACTTATACTATGTTTAAACTCACTTACCCGCATGTATACATTTCCAGTTTCTTCAGACTGCAAAATCCCCAAACCCTTCATAGCCTGTAAAAATTAACTAAATATAACGACATGCTTTGTATAGGATAAAACACTAAAACACATATTTAACAACTCACCATGGCTCGTTCCTTATGAATGACTGTATCACTAGATTGCTTCTTCTTGAATCTTGTTGAAGTCTTTCTACTGTTCCTACTTGGTTCACACACAGTGCTACTGGACACACCTCCAACTGGTTCAATGACAGGTGCTGCTGGTACCTTCCTTGGCCTCCCCCTCTTGTTCTAATTTGAAGTAACAGAAGGTAAGAAAAATGTTAAAAAACAAAGAGTAAACTAATGACAGATACTAACCTTTGGTTGTTTTGGTACAGGGTCTTTCATACAAGTCTTCTTATTGTGTCCCTTCCCTTGACACCTCTGCCATGTCATCTGTAGGCCAAACCTCTTAAGCTTTGAATCAGTCTTTCTTTCTTCCTCTGGTGCTCTTCTTCTCTTCTTCTTAGGCCTGCCTGGCATTTTCTTAAAAGGGGGTGGTTTCACTGGATAACCATCAGCAACAGGCCACATATTTTTCCCATTCAATGGCTCAGGAGAGCAGTTGTACATATTCATATACCTCTCAAGGCTGAAGTATCCATCCACAAAGTCAGCTGGGTCTTTATGCAAGAAGTGAATGGCAGAGCAAGCATGAATACATGGAA